TGAACCAGGAAGAAGTTCTGGATTCAGGAATGTGACCAATGGTTCTCAGAGAACATTGGGCAAACAGCCTTTCTAACACAATGGTGCTGAAGATGAAGAGGAAAGGGCTGGGGTCACAGGAGCAATGTGGTCAGTCTCTGGGAGCAAGCACTGAGGCTAGTGATTGAACAGTTAAAAGATGTCACAGTGACAACCAATGAGAATTTGAGCCTGTCTGCCTCTCCTACTTCCTATGTCATCCATATGGCAAGGGAGGCTAAAGCTTCCTGAGGAGTCCTACTGGAGGAACCAACTGCCGCTTGCCTTCCGGAGCTGTCCATTCTTCAGCCAGAGTCACTTGCTCTGTGACCAAAGAAACTGACTTCCATGAACCCTACCATTGGGTTTTCTTGGCCTCTGGCTTCCCACTGGGTTTAGAAATTTCTAGAAATCAGAGCCATCCCTGGAACTGCATCTCTCAACCAAAGGTCATACCTCTTATTGGGAAACAGTGTGTGTAGGTTGTGCTGTTTTTTTTTTTTTTTTTTTTTTTTTTTTTTTTAGTTGGTTAATAGCAACTATTAGTGGCTTTCTGGTTCTCCACGAGGTTTCTTTATAATTTTGTACCTCTGTGTATAGCCCTGTGTTCTACTTGAGTGGGCCATTTCTTTTCTTCCAGAACTCTCTATTAGTTACTTTTCTGTTGCTGTGATGAAATGCCATGACCAAAAGCACCTTAGAGAAGAAAAGGGGTCATTTTGGCTCATGAATCAGAAGGAGAAACTCCACAACAGTAGGGAAGGCTTGGTGGCAGGCAGGAATGGCCACAGGGGCAGAAAGCTGGCTGGCTACATTTCCACTCAAACACTGGAAGCAGAGGGGTGGGGGAGAGTAGAAAGGAGGTGAAGAGAGAGAAGGAGGGAGAAGGAGAGAGAATGGGAGGGAGGGAAAGAGAGGAAGAGGAAGAGAGGGAGAAAGGGAGAAGGAGAGAACACAGGAAGTGGGGTGAGATCATCAATACTCAAAGGCAGCCCCCAGTGATGTGCTTCCTCCTGCATGGCTCCTCCTCTTGAAGGTTCCATTACCTCCCAAGTAGTTCTACTGCCTCTCACAACTGGAGAGCGAGTGTTCAAATACATAGGTCTATAGCAGGCATTTCTCAGTCAAACCACAACAGATCCTGATAGCTACTCATGGATATAGGGTATAAATAAATGCATTTCAGTGGCTGCTTTTCCTCTTGGAGATTCTGCCTGACATAGTTAAATATTCTATGTTTTCCTTTAATTCGGAAATCTGACATTCACCTTGGCTTAGTGTTAACCAAACCTGCCTTCTTCTTCTCTCCCCATTTGTCTCAAATCCATTCTATGCACACTGCTGCAACCTCATGGTCTCTCCTAAATGCCAATGGCTTCAGAGCTGGTCTCTAGTCTGAGAAGCGAGTTTACCTCCATTTAAATACAATATCCCCAGTCCCTGGGCTCCATTCCCCAGGGTAGCACCTAAACCGCTAACTTCACCCCTGTCTCAGGGCCACGCCCTTTGTCCTTGACCCCACTCTCCGGTGTCTTACAGCGTTCAGCGATCTTAAGATGAGGACAAGTATTGGTCACTGTCCATTTTCTGCCTGTGTCGTCGTCACCTACTAAGTGACTGTCCTGAATCCATCGCTCTGCTCCCTAGCATCTATCACTTTCCATTCTCTTTTCCAGAACGCTGCTTCCTTGGACTAATGTAGCGCCAGTGAGTACCTTTTCCTCCCTCAATTCCCCAAATAAATCTGCCCAACCATTCAACGTGTGTCATTTAGGAAGATGACAAGCACTGGTGATAAAACAAATGTATCATGCCAGAGTAAATGAGCATCAGTCTAAATTTAAAGCCAACGACCTCAGCTGTGGGCCTCACTAATCTGGGAGGCAAAAGCTTTAAACCCTCTCATTCCGTGCGGTCCTAATTTATAGAGGCAGCAGCAGCAGCTATCAGATGGGGACTCTGTAAGCTCCTTGCACCCTTGCCTATGCATTTTCCTATTCATCTCCTCCTCAGCACTTTTAAGACTATTTGTTTATTTTGCACGTATGCGTGCATGCCTGGGCGTGTGTATGTACGGCACATATGTGCAGCTGTCAGATTCCCTGGAACTTGAGTTATGTGCAGTTGTGAGTTGCCTGATGTGAGTGCTGGGAACTGGGCCTAGGTCCTCTGCAAAACTGCTCAGCCATCTCTCCAGTCTGCTTCTTTGGCAATTTTTTGTGACAAGATGTTGTGTTCAAAGGCCCAGCTCCTCCTGCCTTCTCTGAGACATGGGACATCCTGTCTTCTCTCTCCTGTGCCTTTGACTTCTTCATATTTACAGGATCCTTCATAATATATTCCTACAACAAATGTCTGAATATTTATGTTTTCAACCAGCTTCTTCTTCCAGTACTGCTAACATCTTCCATCCCTTCATACTCTTCTGGAGGTGCTTAGATTCATGCACTAGGTCATTTTTCAACTCCTTCCTCCTCTACTTATTTGTTCAATTGACAATATGTTTCATGTATGTGTGTGGGGAACAGTTTTAACTTATGGACACATTGCAGAATGTGTCCAAACAAGCTAATCAACACATGAAACACTTCACCAACACCCCAGTTTTGAGGCACCAAGCACATTAAAGATACACTGGCAATTTCAAAACCATGCAGTACATTAAGCATGGTTACCATGCAGAGTAATAGATCACAAAAACTCACCCTTCTAGACCAACAGAAAATGTGTACCTTTTTAAAAATCAGTCTTGTCTCTCCCCATCTCTCCTCTTGTCTCTGATAAACCTTCTACTCTGTTTCTACAAGATTGACTTTTTACATTCCACATATACGGGAGGACACAGTATTTATCTGGTTGTGCCAGGCTTATGTCCCTTATCCCCATTTACCCATATTGTGACTGGCAGAAATTTCCTTCTTTGGGGCCTGTGTAGCATTACCTGATGTGTATATACAACATTTTCTTTCTCTATTCACACACTGATGGACACTTATCCTCAGGTCTGCTGGTGATGTCTTTTGTATGCTGTGAATATGTTGCTCTGATTGATGGATAAATAAAATGCTGATTGGCCAGTAGCCAGGCAGGAAGTATAGTATAGGTGGGATAAGGAAAGAGGAGAATTGGGAAGTGGAAGGCTGACTCAGGAGATGCTGCCAGCTGCTGCCATGAGAAGTAAGATATAAAGATACCGGTAAGCCACAAGCCATGTGGCAAGGTATAGATTTATAGAAATGGCTTAATTTAAGATATAAGAACTAGATAGCAAGAAGCCTGCCATGGCCATACAATTTATAAGTAATGTAAGTCTCTGTGTGTTTACATAGGTCTGAGGGGCTGCAGCAGCCTGGTGGACACAGGAAAACTCCAGCTACACAGGTCACTTATTATTTTGACTATTGTGAATAATTCTGTAATGGACATAGGCAAATATCTCTTGGACATTTTCTTTGTTTATATCTGAGAAGGCAGGTTGCTTGATCATATGCTAATTCTACTTTCAGGTTGTCAGGTAATTCCCATTGTATTTCCCAGTATGGCTCTGGTTTCCATTCCTACCAACAAGGTGTATGGGTTCTTCATTCTCCATATCCTTGCCAACACTCACTATAAGTATTTGCTATCATTTGGGATGGGAACAGAATGGATAGGGCAAGTGGACAGAGCAAATGTGAGGTTAATTTTTCACTGTGTGTCTATATCATTTACTATGTTTTTCTTCACATAGGATATGTATAAAACACACTTTAGATTGTTTTACAAAGGAGGAATCAGAGAATTGGAGCTTTGCCCTTGTTATCATGGTTTTGCAGATGTGACAGTTCATTTTCTTTGTCATCTGGACCTGACTTGTAGTCATGTAAGAGACACACCTCTGGGCATGTCTGCAAAGGGGTGTCCAGAAAGGGTAAGCAAGGAGGAAGAGCCACCCTCAATGTGGGTGATGTCATTCCATGGGCTGTGGCCCTGGACTAAATTCAAAGGGAGAAAGAAGGAAGCAAGTTGAAGGGCAGCCTGAGAATGGGTGCCATGTGACCAGGTGCCTCAAGCTTGGGTGGGGTGGATCAGAATTCATCCTCCTGCAGAAAAGGCGGAAGCCCAGAGAAGCCTTTTCTCCCTCAGGTTTCTGTTGTTATCGTCAGCTCTTTGGTCATGACAATGAGGAAAGTCACGAACACAGCCTGCTTTCATGAAGTGTGTACCTCAGGACCATCTTAAGGTTTTGTCTTACTGGAAGAACATCTAGCCTTCGTGCTTTTGGGGTAGGTGGTAGGCGTTCTTTCATGCGGTCTCCCACAGGTTTCAGAAGATGTCTGCCTTCTAGTCAGTTAGGGCTGCTTGGGAACAGGGCAATATTAGCAGATCTTCAAATAGGATACAGAATAATAAGAAACATGGATCATAAAAGATGAGAGTTCAGAGACAACCAGATGCCAACAAGTCCTCCTTCTTCATCATAGCGGGAAGACTTGCAGGCCTTTTGATGTGAAGAAATCACTGCAGGCTTGGGTCAGGAGGGGCTATCTCCTGATAAGATATCCAAGGGAGAAGGTACAAGACTCTAAGGACTGTAAGAAACAGGTTAGGGTCCCATCCTGCTCCTACAAGGGACAAGAGGGCAAGAATTCAAGGAGTGTGGAGCGGGTGAAACCTGGAGCAGCTGGGCTGGGTTGGCTGTGGGCTGTGGGTCGGGCGAGAGATGGAGAGGAGTCAAAATTAGTTTGATCCGGATTCCTCATTTGAGTGCAGCAGAGGTGGTGGACCAAAATCACACTAGGAACGCTATAGCTCAGGGAAAACTGTAGTGGCCGCCAATGGCATCTGGTATTGTCCTTCTGCCACTGTCTTAAAAGGGATTCTGAAGGGATTTTCTTTCCCTTGTTCCTCCAGCCCTCCACTTGCGTTACCAGCCTAAGTGGATACTCCCCAGCTGGCCATGTCCATCATCACAGTCAGGTCTGAGGATTCCTGATTATACTCAGAGCCTGTGGCGCTGCAGACACAAACAGTCGGTAACAGACAACCCTGTTGTAACAAACCATGCTTTAAAATGTAAACCACGGTGAATTTTCCTCAATTGTCCAGAAGCAACCTTCGCTCTGAGCCTGGATTAACCATGAGAGAGCTCATCAACATTCCACTGTTACAGATTCTCACCCTGGTTGCCTTCAGTGGGACTGAGAAACTTCCAAAAGGTTGGTCTGCACTATCTTGCCTTAAAATGTGTGTGAGCTTCTTGGCGGCTGATCATACTACGATGTGTTTGGGTGAGGCAGGGGCGGAATGTATGGAGGAAGAGACGCGTTCTCCGATGATGGTTGTCTTCTAAGCTCTGTGATTAAAAACATGATGCGTGCGGAGCCCTCTCGTTTAGGGAGATGTTGCTGGGTAGACTGTGAGTTATGGAGGTCTGTTCTGTTTCTTTCTGTGCGTGTCAAATGTTGGGGTGGTCTACAGGGGTGACAGAAACCATTGCATGCTGGTTTGCCAAGAGCATAATCCACCCCACTTCCAGATAGCCAGAGTGTTTTGCTCCGAAGTAAAAGCCATTTTTATTTTCAAGTTTAGCTTTTTACCAAACTCTTAATGAACATTTTAGTAGCTAGAAATCAGACCCAGAGAAAGATGCACAGAAGGTCCCTGTAGAATAACAGCCTGGACACATCTCCGTAATTTTGTTACTGGTGTTGTGATTTGGGCCTGACGAGAGAGTGCACTGGTTTTTTTTTTTTCTTTTTTTTTTTTTTCAGTGCTTTGGAATGTACCGGAAATAACACCACCTAAGGGGGAAAGCAACTTAAGAAAGTGACAAACACCTGTCACAGCAGCAGGAACATCCACAGTGCTGTGGTTTCTGGCCAGAGTATTATGACAGTTAGAATCAGGAAGAGTGGAAAATACGTGATTCGCAAAGCTACTGGGTCTTTGCTGAAATCTTTTCAAAGCAAGACACGAAGAGGCAGACTGAATGTTATTAATAGTGCTGTTAAGTGAAGAGGGCTGGGTTTTAGTCGGATGAATTATTTCCTGTTTCAAAAGAGGTGCCAAAGCACTGATGAAGTTTACCTTGAAGAATCAGTGAAGGTGGTGTCTGTGGGTGCGTGGGAAACACAGCTTTAGGTTCTGTAGTTCCTACAGTTTGGGAGGCAAAAGGTCAAGGATCCCATGTAAGTAACAGACAGTGTTCTTTCCAAACAATCTGATTGCATGAATTTATTTATTTATTTACTTCTTGCTTCTCTTTTTCCATTTTACTCGGACAAAGTAGTTGGTTTCTTCTACTGTACTAAATCATTTACATCACAATGCTACTTTAAGGCATCTTTAGATAAAAAAAGAATCTGGACCTTTAAAAATAGCTAATAATAGCCAGAATGACTTACCATTGGCTTCGGGTCATTCTAATACTTCCTGATCAGATGTCCGGAAGAGCAACACCTGGCTGTTTGGACCCGTGGCTCCCAATAGGTCTTATTCATTTTAATCTGTACCAAGCAGTTACCCACAAGCGAGGAGGATGTGAAGAGGGCAGCTCTTTTGAAGTTCTGATCAAACCTGGTTGCACAAAAAAATAACAACAAACCCTCACCAAACACCTCTCTATGTGTATGCTAACTTAGAATCTGGAGAGAACTGACTTCTTTTTAGTCCCTCGCCATCCTAAGCCTTTACTCAAATGCATATTATCATCTCTGTTTTGTTAACTTCAGAATCATGGCACAGGGTAGCAATACCAACTATTCTAGCTTTTAAAGAAAACCACCAGGATATCGATCCAATTTGACTTTTTTACAATGTGTTGGCTGCAAATTTTAAAGTCAAAACAATAGTTTTCCTAGCCTACTCTGTTTATTGTAAAAGTTGAAATTAATATTGGCTTCATTCATGTTGGCCTTGTCCCCAAACACCACTTCTAGGTGATTAGACATCTGCTCAATGTACAAGATGACTTCTGAAAGCAAATAACAGGAAACATGAAGTCTTTAAGATTTTAATGTTGTAATATGTGACATATTTTGTTAGAAAAGAGCCATTTGAATGTATTGTTTTCTTCATTATCAGTGAAGATGATGAAGATGTCCTGGCTGAACTAGCTCACGGCAGTTCTCAGTAGCTGGCAGAGGATAGCAGGGCAGAGTCTGGTAGAGGGTGTACTTGTTTAGACTGAAATCAAGGGACCTGCGCAGTGATGTGTCACTGAATACAGTCCTGTTTGGTGGAGAGGGCAGGTCCAGAACAGATGTACTTAAAACAGGGCTGTTTAAGGCTAGGGAGAATGTTCAGAGGAATCGTGTCTCCCTCCATACACTGTTTTTATCATAAGATTATCCGGCTTTGTAGATTAATGGTTTATTATTTTAGCTTTCAATTATTTGAAACGCCTAGCATTCTAACACCAAAAGAAGAACATCTTCGTCTTTCTAGATCACCTTAACTAGTGAGATTTTTTTTAACCTCTCAGCCATCTCTCCAGGCCCTGAGATTTTTTTTTTAATGAGTTTAATTTCCTCACCTCAAGCAGGAGACTTTTAGAAATCATCATGTGTGAAAGTGGCCAACGTTTAGTTGAATTTCCTCAGCCATAAATTTTAAAAGCACTTGCTGATTTATCAGGGTGTATTAAGCATATGGTGTGGTGTAAAAAATAAGAGCAGAAGATTCACATTAGCAGAATTGGAGTTATTTAATATGCACAAGGATTTCCTCACAAAATCTCACTTTCAAAACGACCCATTTACTATCAAACCTATGGTGTTTAATGTCTAATTTCTCTTTAGATAAAGTGAAGAAGCCCTGTCTTTTAAATCACATGTATGCAGGGACAGGATTCACAGATTCCACTTATGACTCAGTCAGAGCTAACACAGCTGTTGTGAACCCCATCCAGGACAGCAAGTCCTGGGTCAGTGTTTCATACTGACACTCATTGTATGTGTAGGAAAAACAGCTGCTTTACGTCATTTCTCATGGAGGGGGGGGAAAGAGTGGGAATTTCATAATGTCTCTGAAGGTGAAGTAGGACTCGAGGCCAATGAGGAGGAGTGAAGGGGACATCCTCGGACTGGTCCATTCAAGAAGATGACAGAAGTACACAGGCCCAGTAGAGCATCAAGGAAGGGCTGCAGATGGCAGTTTAAGAGTGATTCCAACCTGGGAATTTGTTTCCCTGTGTCCAGCAAGCACTACATGAACACAGGAGTAGTGAGGGCAGGTGTTCAGATGAATTCAGGATCGGTGTTTTCAGAGGCCATGAAGCAGAAGAACTTGAGGGTGCAGAATCTGGGGTTATGCGAAAAATACCAGATGCTAGAGTTCAGACAACCAAGAATGGGAAGCAGGTATTACAATCAATTTCCCCTTTCCTGTCCCCACCATCTTTAAGGAAAGCATGTAGTCTCTGTCTCGGTTTCCTTGTGGATGAAACAATGCCATTATCCACTGTCACAGTAAGGCTTCCCCGTGGTTGCTGTGAGGTAACAGGTAGCATGCTTTACTTGTGTCCTTACAGGATGGTGGCTAAACCCAAAGGAACACCTCCGAGGGATGCAAACTGTGCCATTCTCGAAGGCTACACAGAACTCCCGTGAAAGTCCATCCTAATGGGATAATCAAGAAGGCATTCAGTTTTGAGGAATTAATGACCCAGCTTTGAAAATGGCTGAGTGTCATTCTAGGTTAATCATACAAGTTACAAAGACATTGTAACAAAAAATTTCATTTCACTGCAATTAAATGAGCCAGCTATTAGAACACATCAGATAACAATCAATACCTATTATTCTCTCTGAGGGATCTGAAAAATTTCCAATACCAAAGTGTTTACTTAGACTGAAAAAATAAAGAAACAATGTTATATTGATAATAATTAGAAAAACATGAATTTTTTTAAGGTCTCAGCACCAAGTTTTTTCTTTTCTTTTTTTTTCTTTCTTTTGTTTTGTTGAGTCAGGGTTTCTCTGTGTAGCCCTGGCTGTACAGGAACTCACTTTGTAGACCAGACTGGTACAGAGATCCGCCTGTCTCTGCCTCCTGAGTGCTGGGATTAAAGGTCTGACCTCTCAGCTACCAATTTTCTTAAAAAGAAAAAAAAATGCACCTGGCTTCTTTGCATTTGGGCACGTTCATTAGTCATGGTTCAGCCAGAAGTCGGTGTGTCAGCGCCATGTTCTAAGCCCACAAAAGACAAAGGAAGGTAGTATCATGACCTCCTCATCAACACCTAGAATTCAAGTTAAGTTTTCTGTGGGTCCTGAAAGGGTTGCATTCATCCTCATGTGTTTGTTGTTCATGTGGTTCTTGGATCAGGAGAAAAGACAGAGGTTTGGTTTACACAGGCTCTGGCTGGGATGAAAGCTGGGTGAGGGGGAGAGCAAACAGGAAGAGACCTGCTGAGCCGATCACACCCTTCAGTACAGCTACATGGTGGTGTGAGCGACACTTCAAAGGGAATTCAAGGGGAATTTGGATAGCTTTGGAAGATGGGCAAAATGGATCTGGAAAACTTATGTTCTGCTTCTAGAAATTAATACTGATTTAAACCTCCCATTTTCTGTGCATAACTGTGACTATAACATACATCCATTCTAGAATTCAGAGATAGGCTCTCTCTCTCTCTCTCTCTCTCTCTCTCTCTCTCTCTCTCTCTCTCTCTCTCTGTGTGTATGCATACACACACACACACACACACACACACATACATTTTCATGTGTAAGTGCAGATATGTGCAAACTGAGGCATGTATGTGGAGATCTCTTGTTTGCCACTCTGTAAGGCAGGTTAGCTGGCCAGCCAGCTTCCAAGGATTCCAGTCTCCATCTCCCACCCTCCCCCATAAGAGCTCTGGGATTACAGACACGCCTGCTACAATCTCAGCTGTATGTTTACTTTGGGGATCTGAACTCGGGTCCTCATGGTTTCACATCAAGGACTTTCCCACTGAGTCTTCTCTCCAGCTCAGACACAGGGCCTTTAAGCCACCCTTAACCCTGAAATTCATCTTTACCATTTCCTACTTTGGGAATGGTTACAAAAAAATGATTTAACTATCCTTAGTCCTTGTCTAGTTTACAAATGCTTAATTGTACTTAACTCTTATTTTATTTATTTATAAATAAGATAGTAAAGATGACATGTGAGATGGAGCACATAGAAGGTTCTTGAATAATTTTAGGTATTGATATTATTGAAACCAGAGTCAGACCAAGACTGTCACATCACTGAATGCGGGAAGATGTTAACATGATACTGCTCTAAGTGACACCTCATGTGTTTCTCTGTGTCTAAGATTTTCAAGATTTTGCTGATTGTATCTTGGTTCTTCAATCTTAACTGTTTTTAGCAGAGTGTGTATCACCACCACCTCCACATTTCAGCGTCTGTGCACAGTGAAAGAAACTGATGGATCGAGTTTATTTTTAAAATAAAAAATAACACATGGTTGTTAAGATTTATTTTGAAAAGACGAAGTAGACAAACAAAACAGAAAAGGCTACTTCTGCTTCCAAGACAGTTGACACGCCATGTTTTTTTTTTCTGTTTTTCTCCTCTGCCTGACATGTTTACCTTTCACAAAAGCCTGAGCATTTTTTATTATTGCTACCCTTCAAAGCACTATTTTGCAATGATCTCACCCTGTCTTGTTTATCAGACAGTGTTCTGAAATATATTTAAGGTCCAATTTTCTGAGAAAAAAACAATTCTACTGATTTGTCCTGCTTCAGTAAAAAGATTCTAAACCACATCCAGTTTCAAACAACCAACAAATCCTGGAGATAGTCAAGAATCAGCAGGCACAGTATTGTTGTAGGCCATTTTCACCATCAAAGTAGTCCCAGAGCATGGAGATACTGTAGTTCAAAAGCAACTGATGGATGTGTGTGAAGGGGGTTGTCCAGGTGTCTTTTTCGGCTGCTCTTTACCTTATTTTTGAGACATGTTAAATCTTCAGCTCACTTCAGGCTACTTCAGCTGGACTGGCTGGCCAGTAAGCCTCCTGTCTCTGCCTCTCTAAGGCTGGGATTACAGACATGTGCTCCTGTACCCAGCTGTTTCACGTAGATCCTAGGGGACTAAACTCAAGCCATCTCTGCAGCTTAGATGTGATTGATTTTTAAGCATTATTTGTATTAAGCATTAATATAACTTAACTATAAATGTATGCACTTTAGTTTATCAATAATAGCTATTTAATAGTTACTAGCAAAATTCCAGGAAAAAATAAAAAAGAGCAATTCACATTCTTGCCAGTGCAAACCAGCTCCAGCAGACCATAGCAAGAAGACAAAACCACCTGCTCCTGTAGCTGGAGAGCTTCTCTCCTGGTCCCGCCGAACCCTGGCAGTCCGACAGCCCACTTATTAAATAAACACACAGACGCTTATATTATTTACAAACTGTATGGCTGTGGCAGGCTTCTTGCTAACTGTTCTTATATCTTAAATTAGCCCATTTCTATAAATCTATATCTTGCCACATGGCTCGTGGCTTACCGGCATCTTCACATGCTGCTTGTCATGGCAGCGGCTGGCAGTGTCTCCCCCACTCAGCCTTCCACTTCCCAGAATTCTCCTTTCCTTGTCCTGCCTACTTCCTGCCTGGCCACTGGCCAATCAGTGTTTTATTTATACAGAACGATATCCACAGCATGCCCCCCCTTGCTCACTTTATTCCATTAGTGCAGCCGAGGGGAATTCATTTGTTTCATGGCCCGAGTCATCTAACATACCTTTCTATGTGCGTGATCGCTCATTTGTGATAGACTCTAGGATATCAATAATGACTCAACTTTTTTTGTGGGGCTGGAGAGATGGCTCAGCAGTTAAAAAGCACCGCTGCACTTCCAGAGGACCTGGGTTCCGTCTCCAAGACCCACGTTAGGAGGCTCCCAACCACCTGTAATCCACTACGTAGGATGCAACACCTTCCTTCCCACCCAGTCCTAGACAATAATTAATGTATTTTTTGCTCTGTAGGCTTGTGAATTGCACATGTTTTATGAATAGAATCTTATAACATGATCCTCTGTGATTATTTTCATATGCTTTGTTTTTTGTTTCCATGTTTCCTCTGTGTCATAGAATATAACACTTCTCTTATTTTCATTGCCAAATAATATCTCAGTGTGTGTGTGTGTGTGTGTGTGTGTGTGTGTGTGTGTGTGTGTGTGTGTGAATTTTGTTTAGCCATCTGATGGTGGCACTTAGGTTCCTTCCATCTTTGGGATATTATGAGTAGTGATGCTATGAACAGAGATGTGAAAATATTTGAGTATCTAAGTCTTCACTTTCATTTCTCTTGAATACGTACCTGGAAGTGGAATTGCTGATCATAATTCTCTTGATTTCTTTCTGTGGAACCTCCATACTCTTTTCCTCAATGACCACCATTTTAATTCCTACCCACAATGCACATGGTTCTAATCTATCATCATCTTCACCAACGTTTGTTATTTTTCTTTATCTTTATAGCCACCCCAGTGAGTATAATTTTAATTTACATTTTCATTTCTTTTTAAAATTCACTTGTGTATTTTTTTTTTTTTTTTTTGGTTTTTTCGAGACAGGGTTTCTCTGTGTAGCTTTGCGCCTTTCCTGGGACTAACTTGGTAGCCCAGGCTGGCCTCGAACTCACAGAGATCCGCCTGGCTCTGCCTCCCAAGTGCTGGGATTAAAGGCGTGCGCCACCACCGCCTGGCTCACTTGTGTATTTTTATGTGGCTTGGAGCACATTTTCACATCTGAACACACATGTGTGGAGGTCAGAGGCTGATGTGAGATATCCCCCTTGGTTGCTCTCCGCTATATTTACTGACAACAGGGTCTCTTTCTGACTCAGCTAGTCTAGCCAGCTAGGAATCTCCTGTCTCCTCTGGAACACTGACTTGACAGACAGGTCATCCCACGCCTAGTGGGCTTTTGAACAGTAATATTCATCCAGGTATGTCATAGCTTCTGGCTGCTAAAGCACGAGTAATAAATAACATTCTGGAAAGTTCTCCCTTGTTTCTGCTCTGTTTAGCTCCCGTCATCACCACACCTCTTGAAACTGTAGATGCCTTAGTGGAAGAAGTAGCAACTTTCATGTGTGCCGTGGAATCCTACCCTCAGCCCGAGATTTCTTGGACCAGAAATAAAATCCTCATTAAGTAAGTACCCTGCCTCATCTTGCAAAGGATGCCTGCTCTGCTCGCCCACAGAAATACACCCATACTGTTGGTGGCACTAAAGGTCACCTTCTAGAATATGTACAGTGAAAATATATTCATTTTATAATCAGGAGATCTGAAGTTCAGGGCAGATCACTGATTTATCTGACATGGGGAATGCCAGATGAGAATCCTAAAGCTTCCCAGGAAGCACCATGGTATTCTAAGTCTGCAGACATGTGTCCCAGGACACACAGAGGAGCTGAGGGGGCATCCTGTCATCCCCCCTCTGTCCCCAAACTATGAAATCTATTGTCTAAGAATCTGACTTCTGTGTTTTTTTCTTTCAAAATGAGACAGATTCTCAGATGGATAAAAGTCCCATTTGGCAGATAAAGGGTCTGCTTCTCCCCTCATCACAATAGCTAGCTCACCAAAAATACTCTGAACAATCTAAAACCAAGTGAGCTGGAGGGCGCTTTAGCAGGCAGTGTTGCAGCTGAATGCTCTCAGTCCGCATGAGCTACTGTGATGGAACTGGTAAGATTGGTGGCTTACAAACAACAGAAAATTATTTTTCACAGCCTTGGGGCCTGGAGTTCCAAGTTCAAGGAGCCAGCAGATTCAGGGTGTGGTCAGCGGATGAAGGCTTACTCTTCTGTTCACAGATGGTCACTTTTACCACTGTCTCTTCATATGAGGGAAGGACATGAAAGAGCTCTTGGTTCTCTTCCATAGGGACACTAGTCCCACTCACAAGAGTTCCAGTCACATGAAACATAATCACCTTCCAAAGGCCACATCTCACATACCACCACATCTGACACTAGGCTTCAATGCTCATTTTTTCATCTACAGTGAGTCCTTAACCAGTTGTCCATAGGCGGGGATCTACGAACTCGATGGGGAGAAAGGGCACACATATTCTCCTTGTCTCTGACTGAAATGTTGTGTTTCCTTCTGAAGTGCTGAGAGGCATCACTGGGTACCACAGCCTTCATGAGCTCTGCCAGGCAAGCTCTCTCAGAAGCTCCAGGACAGGACCGCTCACAAACAGTTCAAACACCAGGAAACAGCCTTTACGTCATTTGCAGTTTGGATAGATTGAGATTTCCAACTCATGAAGCCTAAATTTCTACTTTTACTTGGCAGTATTTTTTTCTTCTCTCTCTGAACAGCCTTTGGAAGACTTATTTAGTTTTATTTTACGTGTATGAGTATTTTGTCTGAATGTATGTATGTACATTTCATACATGCCTGGTGCCCAGAAGAGGGTGCTGAGTTCCCTAGAATTGGAGTTACAGAGGGTTGTGGGTTCTGGGAACCAAACCCAAACCCAGGTCTTCTGTAAGAGCCAGGGCTCTTAACTGCTGAACCAACTCTTCAGACTCAGCAGTATTTCTCTTAAATTTTACTACAAACTTCCAAAGACCACCAGGTTGTAGCTTTAACATTGTGTCTGGAAATTTCCCTGGCTAAATGTGAGTCCATTATCCATAAGATCTGAATTAGAAATAAGTGTGAGGCATCATTTAGCTGAACTCTCTGCCTCTTCATTGAGGTTGTCTTTTCTTCTTTTTTGGGGGGGCGCGGGGGCGGGTCAGGTAACATCCCCTGTTCTGTCTCAGCCTCCACAAATAGAGGTCTTACCATTCATATTTTTATCAATAGTCCCTTCAAGTCAACTGTCAGCTGGTGATAATTTAGGCTTTCTCTAAGATGATTTAGCATTTCCCTACTATGTCTCTTAGCTCTTTCTAAGACTCCAGTAGCTGTCATTAACATACATGTTTCAGCTGACAGTCTCTCTTATCATGCTGCTCAAAACTCTGCCAGTTCAGCCCCAACTGCTCAACTGCAAAGCCACACCTCCATTTTCAGGTATTTGTCCCAGCAGCACCATGATTCCAGGTACCAACACATATTTATTTTCTACTGTGTCTGTCACGAGTGGTCACAAATGTAGCGATTTCAAACAACATACCCATATTGGTTTACAGTTCCAGAGTGTGAGGCAATCTTCCTGAGCTAAAGTCAAAGCTTCAGTCCTTCCCGGATGCTCCATGACACAATCCCATCTTACTTTTAAGAGTCTAGAGGCCACCTGCGTCCTCTGCTCCCTTCCTCTGTTGGTAAAATTAGCAGTCACACCACTGATTTCTCATGTCACACATGCCTCTGGCTCTTCTGCCTCTCTTATCCACCTTAAAAGGATCTTTTTTTGTTACTGCATATGGCCCACACCAATAATCTAGAATGTTCCATTTTAAGATTTTTTGATATGCTCAAATACCTCTTGCAATGTATCACAGGCTCTGACAATGAAAACATGGATGGGTCTTTGGAGACAGTCATTCAGTGTACTGTATACATTTGATATTGAGAGTCCCTATAAAACAAACAATTTAAAAAAATCCAACAACAGAAGCCACTGGGATTTAGGTGGATGATCCCTTCCAACTTTTTTCTGTTGCCCGAGTCCCTTCTCACTGGACTATTGTGTGTAATTAAATAGACTAGGTATGCACCTACACACAGACACACACAATATGCTTTTTGTAGCTTGAAGCTCTTCTATTTCCTTATGCATCTCAAGGCAGAGGCAGAGATGTTCCTGTCAATTGTTAGACATCTAAAGGTTATCTGTTTATAAAAAGGCGAAGTACTAAGGTTTTGGAGAGGAAGCATGGGAGGGATAAAAAATAATAACACTATATACATGTGTAGAAATGTCATAATGAAAACTTTTTTGTATGATTAACATTTGTTTAAGCACAAAAGATGACTACAATTCACAAACATGAAGGCAATCGGTTCAGTTCTAAGGTATTTCTTCAGTCATTAATGGCTTCAACAAAAGGAAAGTAAGATTCTGTTAAATTTTATTCAATTATAAACTCATTGCTCATCTTCAATTTATTAAAGCATGCTACAACATTCATGATTATTATATTGCATTAGAATAAAAAGGGATAGAGAGATGGCTCAGTGGTTAAGAGCACTGGCTGATCTTCCAGAAGACCCAGGTTTGATTCCCAGCACACATATGCATTTCCTCACAACTGTCTGTAATCTAGTCCCAGGGGATCTGACACCCTCTTCTGGCCTCTGTAGGCACCAGGCATGCATGTGGTACACAGAAATAATGCAGGCAAAACACTCATATACATGAAATATAACATATAATAAAAGTAAAAATTATAAAAAACTAGTTATTAAATGAATAAATGGATATTCAATTCATTGCTATTGATATCTATAAATATTTAGTTCTTTCTGTTCACTGCAATTACATGCATGCTCCCTTTCCAGTTTTTCCCTTGTGGGAAAAGACTCATATATCTTTGGTCGGGAGGACCTGAATTCAATCCCCAGAATATACACACTCAATAGGAAAGTTCAATGTGGTAGTGGGTGCTTGTAATCCCACCTCTGGGGGTGGGGCAGAGACTGGCTGATCCTTGGGACTTGCTGGTCAGACAACCTTGCATACTTTGTAAGCTCAGAATAGCACACAAGCACACACAAGCACACGCAAGCACACACTTCCCTTTGTAAATGTTATACTTGTTCTTAGCAACAGCCACACCTCACAGACTTGTTTTGTACAACTTAGTAGTGCTTTGATTATGGAGCCCAGAAAGATCAGAACATAAAGTACCTTTGTTTTACTCCACTAAGCAAGATTATACAGTTCTGCAAAACACACGTTTCCTCCAACCCTTTTTCTGCTTCCTCACTGACTGGTCATCCATTTGATCCATGAATTAAAGACAAGTGTGTGTGTGTGTGTGTGTGTGTGTGTGTGTGTGTGTGTGTGTGTGTGTGTTTATGTGTATGTCTGTGTGTAAATGTATGTATTTATGTTTATGTGTGTATTTGTGTATATATCTTTGTGTGTGTGTGTGTGTGTGTGTGTGTGTGTGTGTGTGTGTAAAAATCACAGATGGTACGCTGATCCTCCACTTTGCTCTGTGACCTGCAGGCTGTTTGACACCCGCTATAGCATCCGGGAGAATGGTCAGCTCCTCACCATCCTGAGTGTGGAAGACAGTGATGATGGCATCTATTGCTGCATAGCCAACAATGGCGTGGGAGGAGCCGTGGAGAGTTGTGGAGCTCTACAAGTGAAGATGAGTGAGTAGGAAAGAGCATCATCTATAACCTTTAAGTTGTCTCCACACAACTTGTAGCAGTCGTTGAACAGAGCATGCTGTGTACCTGAAGTTCAGTAGTGACACAACGCTCAAGTACAAGGCCAGCCCTCATTCCTGCCCCAGCCACCACCTTCAGGCAATCCTTTCACTCACTCTCCTCTCCCGCTTTGTTTTTGATCTTCAAACAGCTCTTGATTCTATTTGGGAACTTTCTTCTGGAATCATTATGCATTTTTTAAAAAAATTCATTTTTAAAACATTTATTTATGTGCATATGTGTGCTGTGTGTGTTCAGCTATCCACAGAGATCAAAAGAGAGTGTCAGATCCCTCAGAGCTGGAGTTACAGGTGGTTGTGTGCCACCCAGTGTGGGTGCTGGGAACCCAACACTGGTTCTCTGGAAAGTGCTCTTAAGTGCTAGACCACCTGTCCAGCTCTTACTGTGATCTAAAGAGCATAGTCCCATTACAGCCATCACCCTTTTTAAATCTCTCAGCCTTTTGTAGGTGTTTTTGCTTCTTCACTTACTTATTTTCTTCTGAGTGGCTTCCTGCTTAAATGGAGGGTGTTCCAGTTTCCCTACCTCGTTATGCAGGTTTAGCTGTAATCAGGAGCAAATCTCCCACTCCTTGTTGCTGGTTTTAAGCCGTTATTTTCATCCTCCTGGGCAAGCACTTTTCTCTCATGAAAGCTTATGAGGTTCTGATCATTCTCCTCTCTAATTTCATTGAACACTCGCTCCTAGACACTCCGTACTCATCAGACACCCTGATTCTGTCCTCCTTATCTCTCTGTTGCCTTTGTCTGCCACCATCCTGTGCTCTTTCTCATCCTGAGGGTTTTAATAGCCCGGGGACAGAATCATCAGCTGCTTCATCTTACAAGTCGTCACCCTGCAAAAATCCAGGGTTATTTATCTGAACTCTTTGCCAGTCTGCCAAATCAAGGACCCATATTGGGCCTCATCACACACTGGCAGATTCGAAGTCTTCAGTGCCAAGATGTCACTTTCTGATCATGGACACTTTTGTCCAGCTTCCCTGGATGTGAAGAACTTTCTGGCACTGACGACTTGCCTCCATGGAGTAGGGACCAACCTGCTGATTTCTTTCTTAGGGAAGAAGAGTGTCAGCACTCTGGCCTCATGACACTTTGTACTATAGGTACCTGCTGTTGACAACACTCTGAACTCTGCCATAATGCAAACTTTATTTCCTCATTACTAATGAGAAAAAATTACATACGCATGCCTGTTGCCATTGGATAGAATCTGGGTGTACTGGAAACTTTTTGGTGCTAGTTAGGTCTTCATTTTTTTCATTATATCTTACCCTTTGCTGTTGTCTTGTTGGAAGAAATCAATTCTTAAGAATTAATTTGTCTCTAATGGTTCTTTTCATAGTAAACTCTATTTCTTGGATGACATGATGTTCTCATGTTTCTCTAAGGGAATTGCCAGTGAATTTTTTTAAAAAGACATTTTCTTACTTTATTTTTGCTTCATCCAAGATAAATTGTGATCTCATCTCGGTCCATTTCTTTGTTTTTCCCCTCAAATGTGTGTTAGTCTTGTACTACTTAAGTGTAAGTTGAATAGAGTCTCAGATTACTTCAGGTGTAAGCTGGTGGGGCAGTGTCGTGATGGGGGAGGACATATTTCATACTCACCATGAGGAAGTAGGTGGCATGCGTCCACAGAAGGCTTTATGATGTGTGCCTCAACAAAGGAATCAAGGAAAGAGGCCAACGCTGCCTCAATGACTGAGCAATGAAGGCTGAGTTCTGAAGATAAATGTCCTTTAGGGGGGACTGAAGCCCGTTTCAGTAGTTCACTCTTCTACTTTTCTTTGGATGTTGTTGTTTTCCCTCAAACACATTTTTTTTAGCTTGGTTCTACACCAAATCCTCTCATCTCTCTCTTCCTTTCCAGCCCCATCTTCACCTCAGGAAGGTTTACCTGTTTGTGTGGCTATTCATTAGCATGGCCATTCCAATTGTCAAGTTTTGGAAGATTCTTAATGTCCACAATGATTCCAGTCATGCCCTTCCCCTAGGACATCACTCTTGAAACCCCCTCAGGTTCAGTCTCGGGCTCATGCTGGCACAGCGGGAGACCACCAGCACTTTGCTTCAATAAGCAAAGTGTGATGTGTTCCACAATGTCACGATCCCTTGACAGGGGGCTCCACACCTCCATGTGACTACTCTGACCAACTCCAGGTTACTTTTTAGTCAATTTCACAAAGATTCTCCTTACCTTCCACCTTACAGGTGACTGGGACAGCTGTTTCTTTAGAAGCCAGGAGTTAATTCCTCAATACAGCAGATAGTTCCTTAAATCTCCCACATATAACATTATCTGTGACTCAGGTTCACTGTGGGGACCTTGTTCATGGAAGCCATTAAAAGGAATATTGGAACCTTCTTTTTGATAGTAATAAGAATGTCAACTCTTATTACTATCAAAAGTAATACAGTTGAGATGTCCAGCAAATACCTAAAATCGAAGTGTTCCCTGCCATTAAGTATAAAATAGTATTATAAATTCTAGAATACAGCCAAATGGCTAAGATTCACATTTTCCTATATAGTATTTTAAGCCTGTCTTGTACTTTTGCTACAGTGTAGAACCATATTAACTGTAAGGGGAAATAAATGCCTTAATTAAAAACCAACAGGCATTTAATCTTTGTAGATATGACTGACAATGGACACAAAAGGTTCCGCAGCCCTCCCATATACTCACATGTGAGGAAAAAGAGAAGTCTATCCCTTGATTATCACACACACACACCCTTCAGAAATCTGTCCCACATAGGCACCTCTCTGCTCTGTATCTACAGCATGAGATCACTAGGGACACAAGGCAGCTTAATTACTTTATGAGTGCTTTGAGGCATTTGAACCTCTCAGTTCTACATGTTAGATTTAATAACTTCTTTTCAAAGCTTCCTAGTGGAGAATAAAAGTGAACCAATATCACCTGTTTCTTCAGACACACCGGCCTGAGTGCTGGCAGAAGGGTAAACTTCTCTTTGTAGAATTTTCATTCTCCAAAATGTGTCAGGAGCTTTTTCTAGCTACTAACATGCTTTCTAGAGGAAGCATCACATTTAGTAGTCAAAATAAGGTGAGAACTAGACCTGGAAACAGATGCAGTTTCAGCACTTGGGAACAGAGGCAGGAGGATCCCCTCAAATTTGAGGCCAGTCTCTTCACTACAGTGAGTTCAGGGTTATACAGAGCTATGTATCGAGACCTTAACTCAGAAAAAAGTCAATGAAGAAATGGAAACTAAAGGGAAAGTAGGCCATAATTCAAAATGATATAATTAACTTAGGATAATTTTCAAGTGTTTCACATCTATAGTATAAAGAATACAATACTGAATTATTATGGGGACAGTTAACGGTGATTGACTTTTTATTAAGTGTCATTAAAATAGGGAATACTAAGAAATTTCAAATATCAAGTATGCTTTATAAATATGAGTTTTGCAAAAGAAAATAGATATTTTAACAAAATGGATCTAGCCATCCTTTAAGGTAGATTGCCATTTGGTACCTACTAATGAACCATCTTAGCCTTTGGCAAACTTTCTAATTCAAGACCCCAAAGATGATTCTTAGAATGAATATCAAGAATTAATTAGAAAGCTAGAAGCCCTATTTCAATATAGATACATTGTCTTTTTATGTTCGACTTTCATTTTCCCCACAGAACCTAAAATAACTCGCCCTCCCATTAATGTAAAAATAATCGAGGGACTGAAAGCAGTATTACCATGCACAACAATGGGCAACCCCAAGCCATCCGTCTCCTGGATCAAGGGGGACAGTGCTCTCAGGGTAAGTGATTAGTGTATTAAAATCTGTGTATAAGACATCCTTTTTAAAGATGTATGTTTTACTTTTATCTGTGTGTGTGTGTGTGTGTGTGTGTGTGTGTGTGTGTGTGTGTGCATAAATGGATATGAGTACCCATGGAGGCCAGGAGAGAGTATCAGATCCTTTGGAACTAGAATTGAAGACAGTGTGAGCCACCCAATGTGGGTGCTGGGAACTCAACGCCAGTCCTCTGGAAGAACAGCATGCACTCTTAATGACTGAGCTCTCTTTCCAACCAGTATAAGTCATATTTTAAATATAATTATCTCTAAACATCTACTTACATACTAACAAACTTCTAGTATATGTTTTTCTCCATACACATTAGCCAAACTTAAATTATTCGATTACTAATTATGCACCCTCGCTCTAGGGCATTCCAGTAGGGACTGTCTTGGAGACAGAAGAGATAGAAATCAGCAGCATTGGAGATGAAATGGGGGCTGAGCCCAAGCAAAGCAAGGCTCGCTTTTCTTTCTCAGCTGAACAGCTTATTACTATTTTTAAAAAATTTTATTTTACAATATAATTTTGTTCTACATATCAGCCATGGATTCCCTTGTTCTCCCCCCCTCCCACCCTCCACTATTATTTTTTAACATTGAATGTTTGAGACTTTAGGGATACCAAAGCTGAACCAACACCCAAGTTTTAGAACTGGCAGTTTCTGGAAGGAGAGAGATGAGGATTGGAAGGAAGAAAATGAGAAAACAAAGGCGAGAAATTAGGGCAAGGAGACTAGGAATGATGAGCAGAGGCAAACACATCTCAGCAATGAGAAGTTAAATTAAAGCTGTGTCCTTTAGGCTGGAGAGATGGTTTCCTGGGTCAGAGTGTTTGCTGTACATGAGAACCTGAGCTCATATGCATCCACATAAATGTGTGCCTGTAAGTCCAGCGCTTGGGAGGAGGAGACAGGCAGATGGTGGGGTTTGCTGTCCACCAGTCTAGCTCCAAACTCAGTGAAGATCTTGGCTCAAAGGAATGAAGCAGAGAGCAATAGACCACGACATCTGAAATCCACTTCTGGCCACATACATGCACATAGATGCACACACCTGCACAGGCATGTAGATATACCACATTCACACACACACACAAGATGTACTATTTATTGGCTTAGCTTGTAACGCTTCTGTGTATTGTCTCCATGCCTACTAATAAATTACTATTCTTCATCATGATCATCTCCATGGCTTTGTCTCACCTAAAAATTCTGTTCCCATCTTACCAGGCCATGCACACTCCATGGGAAATAATACATAGTTGTCAGCATATATCAAACAACTGAAACAAGCTATAAATCTGATGAGCTTTGCCAACTTTAATGACAATATTTACATACCATGGCTTTCCTTTTGTTATAAGTCTGGATGCATTTTCTACAATAAAAAGCAAAATGACTGACTCTGTCCACCTTACTCAAGTTACAGTGAATTCAAAAAGAGAAGATAAATCTCACATCTGAATTCCAAGGAGTAATTTTAAAATCCTCAAAGGATATGCATTCTCCTAAGGCTACCCTAAGGGTGTATGGTAAAGCGTGGTAACTGAAAGCAATGTTTTAAATTTTTGTCTTGCTTCGTGTTTTATTCTGGGGGTGAAATCATGGCTGTATGTATACTAAGCACATTTTCCACCACTGAGCTACACCTCCAGCCCCAAAGCACAATACTTTCAATCAAACAGACATAAACATGACTTTTGGAAGTCATGATTAGTGTTGTGTTTTAATGAGTTGAGGGGGTAAAGGATAGATGCAATCTCATGAGATCACTGAGATGGTGAATTTACATTATTTTGAATGGTCTCAGTAGTCTATGTTAACATGCATAGGTAGGATAGAGGCTGATATTTTGGGTATTAAGGACAGTGATAAATCAATGGAATAAGGCAAGTGTGTCTTTGACTGAGGCTGTTTTCAAACATGTCCCTGTCTTTGGCAGGAAAATTCCCGCATTGCAGTTCTGGAATCGGGGAGTCTAAGGATCCATAATGTGCAAAAGGAAGATGCAGGACAGTACCGATGTGTGGCCAAGAACAGCCTGGGCACAGCTTATTCCAAACTTGTGAAGTTGGAAGTTGAGGGTAAGAGGCAGCGTGCGTCCATCACCGTCTGCTGGGAAGGCTGTGCTCTGGACTGAGAAAGATGTGACGTAGGAAGCTGTGATTCATCAGCTCTGAGGGCAAGACTATGACAGCAAAGAAGTCAGAAGACATATCCCTAGCATATAAGATCAGGTTCTATCTATTGCCCCAGCTGCTGATAAGTTTGACCAGTGCAGCAAACAAAATTCATGATAATGATAAAGTAACATGGCACCATTTTAGTGTGACTTTTTGGTTTGGACAATTCCCTTATTTATAAATTTGGAGACAGTAATTTTATCTTTTAATACATTTGGATTGATTTCTAAACAATAGAAAAATGGAAAAATCTTTTTCAAATTAGGGCTTCACAAAAGATGAGAAAAATAAGATAATGAATCAAATATATAAAACATGGTCTTAATTCTGTGAACCATGTAGCAATTAATGCTTTCAACATAGTAATTGTTTGTAAAGTGTTTTTTATTAGTTAATTCAATAAATTGGTGGGAAAGATCCTTACTGAGAAACCAGAATCCAAACAAATTTTAGTGTTCTATTCCCTATTCATCTGGTTCTTTACCTAAAATTTTATCGCATTTGGTTAAAAATAGGAACTAGGATCCAGATGGGAGGGGGGGTGGGGAGGAATGGGGAGGAGTAGAGGGAAGAAAAACTGTAATCAGGGTGTATTATGTGAGAAAGTGAATCTATTATCCACAAAGGGGGTGGGGGCGGGGGCGGGGGCGGGGACTGCCAGCAGACCCTTACTGTGTGAGCTCCTCAGGTGTGAAATCCTTTCTAACTTGTCCTGTTCTGAGCCACGGATTCAAGAGCTCTGACTTTTTTTCTCCTCTGTAAAATCAAGTTTAAGGAATTAATAAGCTATTGATTATACCAGCAGTCTGGCCTTGAATGTACTTCACAGACAATGGCTACAGATTTTTCTGCTTTTATTTTTCTTTTCTGACTGATGAAATGTTGGATTAGATATACAAGCAGAAACAGTGATTAAATCAAGAAAGATTTTGATGGATCCCAGATTTTTGAGCCACCCCATTCTGCTTTGGCTAAAATCTATCCTTTGCTGCAATTTCTCTTCTGACTCAGACTTTTATTGAAGTTATTTTTATTTCCTGAGTAGCCCCATGTCCTTTCTCTCACAGTTTTAATTACCTCCTTTTCCATATCTGTCTCTAGTAGGGGCAACATTTTTATGGAGTCATTACACTAACTGCTCATAAAATTTCCATTAGGAAATGGCAAATAATACATATAATGTATAATATATCTTAGATAAGAACACATATTATAGATATATATCATGACATAGTTCTCAATATAGTCAGTATAATTTAATACCTTCTAAACTATCAATTTTAGGTAAGGATTAGAATGCAATTGACATTTTTTTCCAGTGAAATCTAAATAAACATACAACTGCATTCAGAAACCTACCTCAGATACACTGAATTCCTGCCTAGGTCCAGGATTGTTCGAATGCTCTGTAGAATGGTGTAGAATGAATGTTGTCCATTCACATAAAATTCCACAAAAAGCATCCCTTATCAATCTATCAAATTCAAGCTTTCTGTCTTCCCAGCTATTAAAACAATTTGTTGCAAATTGACTTAGAGAAATTCATCACCAATACTAATTCGCTGCAACCCATTTACACAGTCTGCTCTCTCCCTGCCACTTAATTTTGAAACAATAAGATGGGACACCACGTCCGTCTTCCTAACACCAAAATGATCACGCTTGTTGCTTTGACTGTTAACATATGCTGGAGGTTTTTTAAACCTTCATTATGGCTGAGAGCACATGCTAACATTTGAAGCTTCTCTAACAGTGGGTAAGACAATCATTTCAGCTCCTATGTCTATTCGACTTCCTCTGCTTCTGATCAAACTGCCCCAAAAGTGTGGTATACTTATACTAGTACGTCATAAGCATAGCATAAATGATATCTGTCATAATTTTTATTGCCATTAAGACATGAAAAGACCACAGCAAATCTGTTTTGGCTCAGGAAGTTCCTAAAAGTTGAAGCTGATTTCCTTGTTCACAAAGAGCTGGACATATGCACAAGTTAAGTTCTGACAGAACCTACTCAAGGAAGAGTTGGTTCAACCTACAACTCAAAATGCATGGAAAAGTGATAGCAAGATAGTTGGGAGATGCCTCAAAATACCTGCAAGTGCCTGCTGGTCCTGAAGAGGTGAGGATCGAAGGCAAGGCTGGGCCATGTTCGCTTGGAACTGATATATGTATGTCTCCACCCACTTAGTAACTTCATGTTAGTTATGGGATTGCTCTTTGGAAGCAGAACTCCACCCTGCTGTTTGAGGCTGTTTTATGCTAGCTACAGATGGGCATTCCACTAGTAGCCTCTGGCCAAAAAAAAAAAAAAAAAAAAAAAAATACACCAGGCATATCAACACACTGGGTACAGTGCACTAAGTACATCTTAGCTGCCATAGCAAACTATGAAAGAAATACCCTGTCACATGGGATGTACAACTCTTTTTAAATTGCCATCTTCAGGCTTCCAGGTCTCTAAAGTGACAGACAGTAGAGGTAGACAAATAACTACCTCTATTAGTTACTTTACTGTTGCTGTGACAAAACACCATGACCAAAGCAACTCATAAAAGAAAGCATTTGATTTGGCTTACAGTTTCAGAGAGTTGGAGTCCATAATGATGAAGCAAAGGCATGGCAGTAGGAACAACTGAGAGCTCACATCTTGATTCACAAGCAGAAGGCAGAGAAGGAACACTGGGATTGAAATCTCAAAACCTAACCCTCAGTGACACGCCTCCTCCAACAAGGCCATACCTCTGAATCCTTCCCAAACAGTTCTGTCCACTGGGGACCATATATTGAAACATATGAGCCTATTTGGGTCATTCTCACCCAAACCACCATATTACCCTTCTGTCTTATGTCAAAAGATACTACCTGTGACATGCAGAATTCCCGATGAAACTCAAGCTGGTCCAGTGAGTATGCCTTTCAGAAGGGATGGGATGCCTACGATGTTGACAAGCAGTGTCCTGTTGATCTAAATGCTTTACATTGTGGACCTCATATACTTCTTCTCATTCAGAGCACTTGTCAAAATAAGAAGGTCCTAGGCTGTGCCATTTTAGGAAATCAAGGAACAGTGGGGGTTAAGGACAAGACGGTTCTCCATGATATTGTCTAGAGCAGCACCAGGATGGAAGCGAGAGAAGAAGAATCCAGAATCCTGTAAATGCAGAGAGAAAAAGAGGAGCGGGCAACAAGTTTTTCAATGAGCTTGGCACAAAGAGGCAAGGAGTCAGACTAGGGAGTGGCTAGAAAGACGGAGCATGTTAAAATAGCATAAGAAGGGAAATTTGACCGTACAGAGGAGGGGGGTACTTTGGCACACACAGGGGTTACATCCAGGGTTCAGGTGGAACTGCAAACTTTATACGACCACATGTCCTGTTTTCCCAGGACAGTTCCGCTTCACACCTGTTGTCCTAGGATAATTATTAATAGAATCCCACTTTTGCTTTCTGAAGTGACTAGGCTTCCGTGATACATTATACAGCTGCTCTCCTTAGGGGCAAGAAAACTTTCTTCCTTGGAGTAAGAAGGGAAATGGAGACATTTTCCAATACGAATCAGTTTATAAATCAGGCATTTTGGGTTTCAGAAGGCTGTCCTCATGGTCTCTGTTCCCTTTAGGGAGTCGATGGTAGGTTATCCTCTGTAAGGAGGGCATGGGGTGGGGGCAGGGGCAAGGAGAGTGGAAAGATTTTAAAATAGCTGTGGGATGGGAGGATGACTCAGAAGGAAACGTGGGATTGTGGAACAACTTTAAGGTTTTAGCAGAGCACAGGAGCATGAATATGGGAGGAGGGGCCTCCTCTGCATGACTGAAGCACAGCCGAATCACGCTCCTCCCCAATGACACGAATTTTGATCTACTCTACATATATGTGTTTAGAAAAAGTATGTTTACGTTATGTTTAAAGGCAAGACATGAGTATTGGGATCTTGGCAGAAAGGAGAATAGGGCAAAAGAAAATATCCCCCAAGAGAGTGAAGCTCTGAATCCAGAATCTTTATGCATGGAATTTATGTAGCTTCATATCCAAATGCTGAATCTGGGGTGGGGGGTGAGACCTGGGCTTAAATCTTATAGCTCTAGCAATAGGACAGATATGATGACATGAAAGCCTTCCTACTATAACGGTTTAGAAATTCAGGATTAGTGACACAATTCACAGTGATAAATTGTCAATATTTGGACACCAGAAATCATTAGAAATTGAGCAACTTTGTTAGTAAGCTCCCAAGCAGGTTCTCCATTGCTCTGAGGTGGTGGGTGAGGTGCCCGTCTCCATCTCCCAGTCTTAAGATCCATAGAGATGAGGAGACAAAGTTTTGGACCCCATAAGAAGTAGAAGCAAACACTGAGATCCTTGCTTAGGGCTGAGAAGATTAGTAATGGCAAGAGGGGCCAGGACAATTCATGGGTGCGCGCGCATACGCGCGCGCGCGCGCGCGCACACACACACACACACACACACACACACACACACACACACAGATGTGCACGCACCCACATTTGTATATCTTTTTCTGAATTTTAATTATGAGAGAGTAAAAGAAAGTCTTCTTAGAAACAAATATGAAACACTCCGAACACAGAGGTATGTAATGAAATTGATACAACAATGCAGTCTGGGATCCCTGGAGGAAGAAATGAACATAAAGAGTAAGTTGTAAGTGAAAAGTTTAACAAGAAAAAATATTGAAAATGGAAGTGCCTTACCCAGGGGACACAATAGTTTGATGGGTGAAAACACGGTAAGGCTGAGTTCACAGCATGAATTGCAGCTGTGTGGGAAGGGACTCAAGCAAGTGTGAGTCAGCAAAATGAAAAGGAATTCAGTCAGCAGAATTACATAGTCGGGAACATAAATAAATATGCTCAAAGCAATTAAAGACACAAAAGAAGG